ATTACTTTTTTTTCCTCCAATATCCCAATGCTCGCCATCGTGTGTCAGACATATAAGAGCGGGAGATACTGAGGCTTCCTGTCCCGCGGTGCACCTCCAGCTAGGAAGCAGAGTCTCAGAGTGTGACTCCCCGAACACCTTTGGACTTCCTCTGTGTCAACGCCGGAGTAATCACTTATCCATCCTCGACCTCTCCCTGGGGAGATATTGGTCTTATTTTGTGGGTCGAGCTTCCTCCATCATACACCATACAAGATTTGTCAGCTTCAAAATTTACCTTCCAAGAAAAAAACTCCACAGCACACGAGGAAACGGATACCTCCTTGTAGAATTTAAACAAAACAAGTCACGGGCTGCTTTTAGAGCTGAACAACTTTTGTTTTTGAAACATCCCATTACACTTGTTCCCCTGGCTATCCCGCACACCGGGGACTCGCTGCATTGAAGGCTCTGATACAGGACTTAATGTAACACTGATAGATGGCTTTGGCCATATGCAATGACAGAATATGTTCTGCAAGAGTGGAGCTGGCTATAACTCAGAAAAATACATTATTTAAGGTTCCATTTTCTCCACAAATGGGTGTGTTGGGACACATTTTGTGGATGTGGATGTGTGCACGCATAAGCTTAACGCCAAACAGGGAGCGTATTTTATGAATGTTGGTGCTGACAGTGAATATTCCTCGTTGAAATTGGCCATATATTTAAAAGTTATGTGCTCTCTTTTTTTAAGTCTCTTCTCAGAACATACTGGGTCGTTCCGCTCCGCTGGGCTCTGCTTTCAAACTTCCTAGAGTTTCAACAAGAGACTTAATCAAAAACGCACCAGAATTCCATGTAATGTGCATGATCCCCCCCCCATACCCATTGGTGTTAACGGGGATTTAACACTTTACTTCCCCAAATATCTCAATTAAAAAGCTGTGCAGCCAGAGTGTTGGAGGGAAACAACTGTTTGTTTTACCAAAACTCAAATCCTTGGACAGACTTTGCTTTTGTTTGTTTGTGCTTCTAGAATTCAATTGAAGAAAGAAAACAGAAATTCAATTTGTGCAACTCCTTTTTTTATGTAGTGCCTCTCAGACAGGCGGCCCCTTCCCCTTTCCTTTTACCTCTTTTCATTTTTCAAGTGTTATCAGGGTATTTGTCAGAGTTTCTACTTCATTGGCTTTTGAATTGCATCTATTTTCTTTGTGATTGAAGCCTTTGGTGAGTCTTTTTAAAAGATTCACATGAAAATAAGCATCAGAAACCTCGTCTGAGCCGATTGCTTTGTGCACTTCTTGGCCGCATCAAAAGCAACTTTGTTGTACAATGTTTGCAGGGTTAATTGAGGGCACTTCTCTAACTGTTGCAATTATTTTTATCGACTTAATAATCACCTAGTGGCTATGATTTTGCTTCCAGTAATTACAAAAAAATATAATCAGTGCTTAAAAGAATGCATCTGCTTCATAATTTTGGGATTATGGCACGTATTGATTATGCTGTTTTAATGAGGCTAAAACTGCTTCCAGGTCATAAGATTGGCTGCTAGCATAGCATTAGCAGCGAAATGTTTGTTTACTACTTGGGCAGGTTGTCAGTCACTTAATTGACCTGACTTTCTAGGAATGTGTGTTTAAACAGAACGGACCCACAGGAGCGTTCATTCATCACAGCACTCTCCTGTTCATTTGTCAACATCGGAGACATGAGGTTTGTTGTTCCCCTCGCTCCGTAACTCAGCCACAAAAAGGTGGTTATTGTGTTCTCGGCTGCTGCAGTCCGACCACACAGCATCCGTCACAAGCCTATGGGGCTTTGGCCTAGAGTGGCCGTCATTACTTTGGAGCTGATTGATTGGTTGTTGAAGAGCTTTTTCACTTTCATACATCATCTTCTTGATGGTAAACACAGACGGAGTTGTTGGGGAAGGCAGTCTTACAGTATATAGTTTTGAGCCACAAGTGGGTAGTGGAAATGGGGTGGGTGGGGCTTTCATACTTTATGTTAAAGTATGTCAAAAATGGCAGCTCAAACATTAGGGTGTTGGTAGCTTTATTCGGCAAGAATCAAAACTCAGAGATTATTCCCTGAAAATGAAGCATTCTCAATCTTTTGAAGAAACAGACACACTAAGAACATTCCCCAGATAACCACACCACAGTGCAGTTCAGCCCACATGTTTCATCATCGCCGATGTGTTGTAAATGCAAACTTTGTGCGGTGGAATTTCTGTAGTTATTTAGATTATAATGTACAGACGTCATTAGGTTCACTGTTCTCTAATGTCAGTCAGACCTGACAGAGTTCAGCTGTTATTAGAACACCAAGTACAGCTTGGAGGGTTTCAACTGTTCTTCCTGATATCTGCTGGATATTTGGTAGACTTATTGTCTGCTCCAGTGTTATAGACGTCACAGATTAGTCTAGGTGGGTCAATGTGACACGACACTGATAATGGTGATGTCTTTTAGGATGTATGCGATGCCTTTCGAAAAGTTCTGCAGATGTGATTGAGCAAGACACGAGTACAGAAGTGTGATGTTGAATCATGTCTCCTCATGAGTATTCTTCTTTTGTATAAACTTTCATCAACGTAAGCCATCTAAGTCAACTGAGTCTTATTGTGTGAAGTCAAGTCTTAATAATTTCCTCGACACCTTGTATAATACAAGACTATTTCTGGTTGTATTAAATCAAACCTCTGCCAGTTGATTTGAGGAACGTCTTTTGGTTGGTAGATTAGTGCATGACTACAGTTAGCACCAAAGATTGTATATTAGAAGTGGACTTGCCTTCTGTGACACCAATGGTTTATTGACTAGTGTTCAAGGGTTTGTCATTTTTGTCATCACCACCTTTGGATTTTTGGAGCCAGAAGCGGACATGAGGGTGGATACATATTGCTCAGCCTCTATCCTAGTTGTCAGGTTTCTCAGATTTCTCTAATACCCTGCTTTATTGTCTATTTCACACTAAATATGACGGAGAAAAAAAAGAGACTTGTATTTCATTCTTGGTCTATCCCTCCAGTGTTTTTTTCCCCCCTGTGAGGCTACCTTTGTGAAGGATGTGCTTTTTTTCTGCCTGTGGCGCTCTGCTGTCCACATGAAGCTACACTGCAGACGTTCATATGGGAATCCGGAGTAATTGACTTCCCCGAGCTTTCACCTGATGTTAATTAACAGCACAGCACATTTGTAGCAGACCTGTAAAAGAAAGAGTCAACCTGGAGACTGAGGTATTAATTAACATTAAGTACATCTCAGAACAAATCAAAGTGAGTCACTTCCTCGAGGTGTGGAACAGAGATTGTGCAACACTTTCTTAGATGGAAAATAATCGCCCATGAAAGAAGTCCGGCCCCCTTATCATGAAACGTAGATAACATGAGAGGCTCCTTTCATAGCAGCTGCAGTAAACTGAATATTCTAATTATGTTTCAGTCTCTGAGATTTCCAGAAAAAAATGTCAGGCTGACCGAGCTTTATTTAAAGCAGGTTTCTCCTCGGTTCTAACCAGTTCTGTTTTATTACAGCCATTTCATCCCCTGGCTCATAACTTTTTACAGCCGCTCTTGTCTTTAACATAATTTCAGACATTCTCACTATTGACTCTGAGTGTTATAATGTCTGCAGGACCAATATGGGTGTAATATTTAATCCTGTCGCAGTACATTCAAACTTTGTAATGTCTATGCACCATTTATGAATGCAGCAGTGCAGAAGTGCATTAGTGTTTGGTTTCTAATTACTGAAAGAATGATATATAACATAGAAATGGCCAAATTGCTGCAACAATGACACCACTGGAGACTAAAAAATCCACATAGCATTCTAACTAATTTTAGGGTTTATTGGACATAACACAAAACTAATAATGTGTGTCAATTCAAATCGATTTGAATTCCTTTCATTTAAGTTTTTTGTGGACTTGCTTGATATTGGGTTGGAGCTGGCGTGGTAGAGCTTGGAACAGTCACAAGACTCACTGTGATTTACTGTAGAACTAGCAGAGTCCCCACAGGTGTGCAGCTTCATTACAACTGAAATAACTGATTTCAGGATTTTCTGAATCGATATTGAAATTGGAAAAAAAAACATGTTGCAATGCCGTAATATGTAGCTCGGTTAGCTTGTCACCATAGGACAACTTGTCTTCTGCTGATAAATCTTTAAACCATTGGAGAGGGCGTCCAGATGGTCCAGAACTTTTTGATATGAATTGACGCCAAGCTACCCGTTGCCAATTTTGTACCACCAGTCCGGCTTTGGCCAATAATACGCGTCATCAATGTGTACAAACACAAAAATGATCTTTAGTTGTCTTACTGGCACACACTGTATGGACCATCAATGTTTTCATTATATTAAGACCAAGAGCTATGCATGATGCTCCAGAAACCAATTGTTGACGTCACTGAGGCCACTCCATGTTTTATACATTGCATGGTAAAGACAGCTTTGGTATCACATATGCAATGTTTAACATCATTTATCAGAAACATGTCAATATGTTCTGCCCACGTTACCATCGGTTTCACAAAGTTGCCTCTGTGTGTGTGATGAACCTTGATTAAACTTTTAGGCTTATTCAGTTAACACATTTGTATATGATTGAAAATAGTGTTGGAACGTCCGTCTGCTTGCACATGAATATTTAACGAGCTTATATTCCTCATGAATTCAGCATTAAAATTTCAGTACTTAATTTCAGTATGCATTTTTAATTAATATCCACTCACACGCTGTTCGCAACACAGACATTCACACGGCTGGCTGACTTGTAAGCCGTGTGTGTGTGTGTGTGTGTGTGTGTGTGTGTGTGTGAGCGTGAGCGGAGTGCGCGCCTGTGGAATATTGAATGGCTCACGCAGAGTCCCGCATCAAGCGTTTAAAGAAGTGATGCGCGGCTCCTCTCTCTCTCTCTCTCTCTCTCTCTCTCTCTCTCTTCTGTCTCCACCTCCTCTTTTTTTTTTTTCGCTTCCACTGAGAATCTTTCGCCTTTTTCTCATCCCGAGCTGCGCGTCCTTCCACCACTTGTTATTTTACACCTTGGCCGCAGCCTGCAGGTGCCGTGAATAAATCGTTTCATCCTTTTTTTTCTTCCTTTTCTTATTCTGGTGGCCAGCCTGTCATCCCTGTTGCACCGGCGTGCCTTTCCTCTATTTGCATTTTTTCTCTTCTTCGTCTTCCTGCCGGGGAAACAATAGTTTCTCCCAGCCGTAAAGGGGAATCATGACCACGGCGAAGGAAGGCAACGCTCCGTCGAAAACGGCTCACCAGCAAGAACAGGTAGCGACTGAGTTCTCTTTCCCCTCACATTTGCACCTGTGTGGCGCTGCTTTGGTTGGTTGGCTCAATGGTGTTTGCATGCAGTGCTGCGGTGACTTTTTCTGACAGCTTGTGGGGGGGAAATGGGGACAAAAATCAAAATTGACTAATGCATTTGCATTGGGAGATAAATTGAAGTGTGGCTGGTTCTGGAGGATTTGTCTACCTCGTGTTCGGGTATGATCATCAATAATAAGCAGTGATCAATATGAAGTGACTTTACGCGCAGGGAGACAACGAGCAGTTTGTGTTTTCCCTTGCAGCCAGTGCGCGTCACCTTGCAGTAGGACACGCACATTAGCCCAACTTGCATTTTTTCCACATATAATGGCCAGCAAATGTGTCACTCTTTCTCACAATGAATGACATTTCATTTTGTAAGGCCAAAGATGCATGTTGAAGCCTGACCTCTCCAGAAAAGCTCGTGAAGGCTACAAAGCACTGTTGCGTTTGAGTATGGTGCAGGGTGGCTTCGCTCTGTTTTCTTTGCGACCTCCAGCAGCCAGTCAGTGATGATAAAGGATTTGTTGAACCACCTCCAGGGAGGAACAAGAGCACTTTCAGTTTTGTCTAAATAATACAAGAATTAATGGTTTTTATTCTTGAGCATCACTATTTTCTTTCAAAAATACATTCTTCTTGCTCTATTCATTTCGGCGTTTGTTAAACAATACACCTCCTCTTACAGCAGAGAGCCAAAAAGTAACACAATATCATGCACACATTGACATTGCTTCTTTGGGTGTTTGAAGGCATCAAAAATCTATGAAAGTGTGGATCAGTAGGAAAAATTATCTCTAACTTTTGGATAATGACATTTTGCTTTTTTTTTAAATAAACGACAATATAGTACCTCAAGCAATAAATCTGCACACTATAGGGAAATCCTCTGACTGATGTTTGTGTTTATATAAGGTAGCAACAGTTTTTATTTTGTCACATTGTAGAATTTCTTCATACTTGAGGCGACAAAGAACTTGAAAAAGGTCTACAATCTCATAACGTTTTGTCTCTCAAGGTTTTTAGGACCATGAACTTGAACTTGAACTTTAATTTTGTAAGCATGGTGGCTGCCCCCACATCCTGTACCTAAGTGTTCAACCTGCTCATGCAATAATACAGCTTTATATTGTCAACTCTTCCTTGTTTTGGAGCCGCTCTTATCAACACAAACTGTAACTTTAGAAGGCATGTGTCGCTGTGGCCTCCACCTGTGTGCTGCACCTGTCTAAGGATGACAGAAAAGGTGAGAGGGACACTTTGCATTATTCTGCCAAACAGACAATCTTCCTCCCGCTGTGATTCAGCTTGCAGACTGTCAGTCGCAGCCTCAGACGCAGCCAAAGGTCCTCCAGTCTAGCCCTGTGCAAAACAAGGTGTAGGATTTTGCAACCTGAGAAATTAAACATAATGTTCACATGATCAGAAGAGAAATTTGTCGAACTGAATTGCAAATTATTGACTGATATCTGTCATATAATTCTGGCAGTCATATCTCATATTGGAGTTTTTTGTTCGAGGCAGGACATTGAGTTCTGATTTAGACTGATAAATAGAGTTTAAAAAAACATGGATTAATTGATCGACAAATAAAATCAGAGAAAAATGGGTCACATTTTCCAAAAACATATTTTTTTGGAGTACTGAGGCAATTCTGTTTTGTCCTATCATTGATATTTAAGCCAATTAGATATTTGCATGTTTTAATCATAGCAAAGATTAAACAAATCCTGAGTAATGAAATGTTATTATTGATACAGTTTCAGCATTAGACTGAAAAGGAAAGAGTAAAAAAAACAGACCAACTGAATCAACATTCAGTTTTTATAGGTCTAGGTATAAGACCTTCTGGTAAAAATTGACTTTGACCTACACACACTTACTTTGATTAATTTGTTATTGGCTGCACAAGGTATTTGTCATCTTAATTGAATCACTTAGTTTTAAGATTTCAGAGTAAAAATTGCTCGCTAACACCTGCAAACTGACTTTTCCATGCCGTTCCTGATGAGACGAGCGGTTGAGCTGCTGATGCTGGAACGCCAGTTAAGAGTAAGTAGCGGCTGTCTGAGGCTTTTCCTGAGGCGTGAAGCTCCAGCAAAGTGAGAAATTGCTTTGAGCACACATAGGGTCGTAAAATCAGTAATGTAACATAGACATGCATGCATGCACACAGGCTCACATATTACATCGGGTTACGCACACAAAACGTACACACAAACATGTACCCGTGCAGTGTGATTACGTGAGGTCCTGTTGTGGTTCTACTGATTGATGGTCTGCCTGCAGGGCTTATGGTCCAGAGACAGAGGACGGAGATAGAGGGCAGCTCACCAGAGATAGCAAACAGCAGCGGCAACAGTCCTCTAGTAATCAGCAACACGCAGCACCACAGAGAGAGAGAGAGAGAGAGACACCACTGACCCTCATTATTGCAACAGGTTGCAGGTTCTCAAGGTGTGAGAGGTTGAGTCAGGGTGAGGAGCAGTAATGCACTTACCGAGGCGAGACTCCTTGGACTAATTCAAAGACAACAAAATGTACTTTTGTTCTAAAATTCACTCATCTTTAAGGTGAGGTCATTTTTGCACTTGTTGACAATATATACAGTATGCTGCTTGTGTACACTTGTGTTTAACAAATTAACTTATATAGCTGGAAAACTTTTCGTGTTCGAGAAAGTATGCTGTTTTTTCTTTTTTTGTCCTTTATTACAGTGATTCACAAATGTAGGTAGGTGGACTGTCATCCCAATGAAGTGTTTTTCAGTCCATGTTTTGTGCTGGTCTGGGGGTACTTCCCTTATATTTCAGAAATGGAATACATTTCTGTGATGTGAGCAGTTGCATGGTGTCACATTACATGAGTGATTTAGATTTTCCAAGTCCGGGTTTCTCACCGGCTTTTAAGAGCCATTTGGAGCCTGTAGCACAACATCCCAGCTCCCCAGACATTTAATGGGGAAGACTTTAGTGGACAGCTAGTCCAGTAATCGTCCTCTTTACTGCTTTTTCACATTCAGTGTGTCTCCAGAACTTGACAAGACTTGGTGGCTAAGGAATACTAAAGGAGGGGACTTGAAGTTCAAATTAAACGTCCTGTTAAGGTTGATTTTGTGGCATCTCAGAAAGGAGCAGTGAAGAACCTCTTTGGGGGGATTTGGAGCTAAAGCTAGAAGGTCTAGTGGAAGATCTTCTAACTTCTATATTATTTCTATTTTCTTTTTGAGGTGACATTTGTGATTCTTGTAATGATTTCCGCCCTTTTAGACTCTATATGCTGCCAGGTGAATATCAGGGACTTGTGTCGTTTTTGTACCAAAGTTATCTGCTGTCTACTTCCTCACCAGGCTCACATTAACAAGTGACAGCTTCAGTTTATTGGAATATTTTTCCACATATAAGAACAGAAATAAATCTCTTCCAACTTAGGAAAGTGGATGACTTCCTAGTAGCATTTTGTTCAGTGCTTATGTTATTTTTTTCTAATACTGCTGTTTCTTAGAAGATATGATTTTTTCTTACTTATCGGAATACACTCAGTGTCATATAAATCCTAAGTAACGTTTCCGAGGTCGTGCTACTGTCAAATATGGATAAAATGTTGTTTATTTGAAACCCAGCATGTCTGCTCTGAGCTGATAAAGTCAAGCATAAAATGTGAAGATGCTGACTTGAAAGTCAAAACCAAATATCGACAAGTGGTTAAAGTCTGATTGAAATGTGTTCTTCCCTGATGGGATTTTAATACTGAAGAATTGATCACACTTGATGAGAATATTTGAGTATTTTATAATTTTGTAGTCATGCTCTGTGAAAACAAGTGTTTTGTTTTTTTTAATTAACCGTGTTGTGTTTCGTTCACCTCGCTGAGGTAGAGCTGTTGCCTCAGTGGCCTGCTGATGAATAGCTTGAGTGATAAGTGCTTAAACAGATGTTAATTAAAATAGCAACTTGCACAGAAAACACAGTGGGACTACGAGGAAATCATCTGCACAACACCTGCCAGGGCTTTCTGTGTTTTTCATGTGAACTTGCAAACATTATCTGCTATGCAGTACAAATTGATCCAGACAATGATGGGGTTTAGGTTCCCCAAATTTCCTTTCTACAAATTGGTATATCAGTTCATCCACTTTTCAAATGTCAGTAATATTCATCAGTAATGAGCCAATTAATTGTTGATTTGACAGGGGATTCATTGGCAAAGTGGCCCAACAAGTTGCCAAATCAGGAGTCAATGTCACCCCTTGTACAGCCAGGAAGTCCTGCATTGGGACCAAGCCAGTCATCTTCTTGTTATTGTTTTGATTGAGAGCCCCCTGGCGGCAGAATTTACATACTGTGCGTTTAAGTAAGGAATCAGCTGTTGACCTATTGCAAACCTTCTTGGCAGTGCTAACCTTGAAGCATGGCTAGGCTACCTTTATTGAGCCTTTTTTGTTGAAGAATTAACAAATGGCGACTTCCAGTGCTGCAATATGAAGCGAATGTGGAAGTGTCCTCTTCAGGCTGGCTCCATGCTGACATAGACTGGGTCACCGCCAGTTCCCCTCAATTTGGGAATTTCTGTTTAGTAATATTCTTTATAAAAATGCAAAAAAATACTACGACAGTTGGCATTTTTTTTTTTCTAAAGGGGGCAATAAGTCATCTTGTTTCATAATTTAATGTCATGGTTTTGCCAGGATATGAGATTCTTTGCTCAAAACACAGATATTCACGCTAGAGTACATTTCCTTTCGGCAATGGAGATTTAATGTGAAACCAAATTCATCAAATGTATTGGGAGTATTTCCTTGTTGCGGACACATTTCTTCTCTTCTTCTCCTTCTTCTCTGGTGAATCAGAAGAGAAATGTTTTGTTTCAGGTCATTTACCTCTTCTGTCTCTTTTTCCTCTGACTGTCTCGTGTATTTTTCAGCCGTCACCTATTAATAAGTTAGATAAGCCGTGTGGCCA